TCGTAAACTTTTTTTCTTGCTGGCACAGACAACAGGAGCAGTGCAGACCTTGCCAAAGTTACTAACAGAGGAAATGATGCAACGTGAACTCAGCCCAAGGAAGCTTACGGAATTCTGACCCATGCCTACCCTGGCCAGACAGCATTAATTACAAGTTTAGGTTTTGTTTGATATTATGATGAGTTTTAAACATATGTTTCCATTGCATAAAAACATCAAATCAATTTGCTGACATAGGCACGTATGTGTTAGCACGTCAAAGCCCACTTGGCAATCCTCGTCCCTGCAGGCTTCCATATTACATGAGCACAAACTTGTGAGGGTAGCATATGTGGGTGTATTTTTCTAGAAAGGAGATCCATAGTGTTGATCAATTTTTACAAGTGTAAGAACCAGCAAACTGTTCTAAGTAAGGCCTCTTCCAGTTCTAAAGTTGCATAGGTCTCAGAGTCTAATGCCAAACATGACAGTACTGGAAAATGTAGTGAATATCCACGGCCCCTCTGGGGGGCCCAGGTGGGAACTCAAGTGTTTGAGACAAGCCTGAGCAAGAGCGAGACCCTGTCTCTACTAAAAATAGAAAAACTAGCTGTGCATGATGGTGGGCATCTGTAATCCCAGCTACTCAGGAGACCGTGGCAGTAGGATCGCTTAAGCCCAGGAGTTCGAGGTTCCTGTAGCTGTGATGCCATGGTACTTTACCCAGGGTGACAGAATGAAGCTGTCTCAAAAAAAAAAAAAAAAAAAAAAGTCCAGATCCCTTCTATTTGCCATGTCAAATATTTGCCTGAAAAAATTTGAAGTTTTTATCCAGATGCTTGGTGTCATGTACAGCGACTGGTCATTTTAATCCGTGTACCTCATACATGCTGAACTCCAAACGTCCCCTGTGCCTGAGTGCATATGAGGTCAGCCTGATACCTCCCTGAAGGTTGCCAGGGATCCACCAGGCCAGGAAGGAGGAAGAGGCTACAGGCGACCCACACTTCCTCCCCACTAAGCCAACATGTGCCTCTTCCTTACCCAGATGCGATCACCTCGATTATAACAACCAAAACTTGACAGTGGCTGGGTCTGACCCTTACTTCTTAACTCCCCACCCAGTCCACTTCTGGGAAGTGGGCCATGGAAGCTGAATGCATGTCTTTCTCTACAGAGAAGGTATCTTATTGTCCTGAACACCTGCCCAGGACAGGAAGAAGCCAAGAGAAGAGCCTAGACCCACCCGCACTCCCAGAGGTTGCACGGGAGGGGTTGCACCCACATCCTCCTGGCTGCTTGGCTGAAGGAGGTTGACATTGCAAAATGTATGCTGGAAGATGTCTGCCGGGAGATGTAGGGACTCAAACTCCAAAGACCCTCCACCACAGACTCTTAAAAGGTTGTTATTTTCTATTCCTTTTTTCTTAAACGATAGCTATCAGAATAAACCTAAAAACTGCTGCCATCATTTAAGGTGGCACTGATAATCCAGGAAAATCAAACTATTTCCACACAATGTCTTAGAAGAATAATTTCTGTATTCTCTATTTTCCCTTTCTGCTTTGGGTTGCTCTCTGATGTGAAATTATAATTTTTGGGCTCTCTTCTTTTCCTTCCTCAATAAAACTCCTTTGGCATCAAACTAGAAGGGTAGGGTGGGGGATAAACTTCATGAAGAATGCACACTAAGGTCTTGTCTTTTGTAGAATGCTACTGGGTCCCAGACCCGTACACTTGCTGGCTGATTTCTTTGGGCCTTCCCAAAGCAATCTTTGATTTAGGGCCTGGGATCATTTGCTGAGGCCCATTTCTGTCTGCACAGCTCATTGGGAACATTAGGTGCAGTGCTAAATGGTCTGTTGGCAATATTAACTGTCACTAGACTTGAAGTGAGGCATCTTGCAGTCTTCACCACCATCAGTTTTTTAGCCTGTTGCTTTATCTGCTTGGCCAAGAAGAACTACTGCCACTTCTAAATTGCTTTGCTTTTTTCTTGGTGAGACTGAGTCTCACTCTGTTGCCCTGGGTAGAGTGCTACAGCATCATAGCTCACAGCAACCTCAAACTCCTGGGCTCAGGCAACCCTCCTGCCTCAGCTTTCCCAGTAGCTGAGACTATAGGTGCCCACCACAATGCCCAGATAGTTTTTCTATTTTTAGTAGAGATGGCATCTTACTCTTGCTCAGGTTGATCTTGAACTCCTGATCTCAAGCGATCCTCCTGCCTAAACCCCCAGAGTGATGGGATTACAGGTGTGAGCCCCTAGGCCCAGCCTAAATTGCACTTCCAAATATTGACTAAGTGGTGAGGCTCTAAATGTCATATCCCAGCTCACTGAAGCAATAACAATTTTCCAGGCCTCATCGAGAGCTCTGTGCAATTTCCTGTGGGGAGTGGAGGAGGAAAAGGAGGATTTAAGAAAAAAAGTAAAGTCAAGTCATGATTAGAAGAAATGCCCCTGCACTGCACTTGACCTTGCAGAGATAAGTCAGCACTCACCCTGTTAGGCTGGGGCTGAGGGACCTATGTGGACAGACAGAGGACGAACAGCAGGGTCCCATGACTGTCCCCCAGGAGGAGCCCCTCTGGGCCGGCAGCAGAGACACCAGATCTCAGGGGGCAATGTAATGTATTCCATTCTGAAGCGCTGGACAGCGTCTATAGGACAGACACTTTGGTTCCATTTCTGGGAAGACTTCAACACAGCCAGATCTTCAACTAATCTCCGTGAAGGCCGTGGAGGAAACTCCAGGAGGATGTCTTGTTAGCTTCTTCTCTCCTGACTGTTACGCTAGAACTGATCTGGAGGCATTTTGTCACACCCCATTTGCAGTTGAACTGTGAATTGAAGGAAGTGATCAGGCCCTTCTTGTCCTGAAGGAGCTATTTTGGAGGAACAGTAAGATATTTTTTATGCTTTCAGATGTTTTTTGGATACTCAGTGATATATACCTTCTGAGTCTCCAGAGGAGATAAGGACTCATAATATGAACCTGGGCAGAGAGATGTGGGGAATATGGGCGGCCCCTATTTAAGAATTGCCCCCGCTTTATGGCAGCTCTGTGGGGTACTGGGGATGTTGGGTGGGTGTGGGGTGCCCTTCAAAGCATGAAGGACGGAAGTTCCAAAGATACAGGAAGTTAAACTAACCAGATGCCAAAGAAGGGTGGGCCATATTCATTTTGATGGCCCTTGGATTTGTTTTAAGGGGGTGCTGAATCCATTCCCTCTCCTGCACTTCTGCAAACCCTGGTTGATAACCATGCCGCTGATAATGACCTCAGAATGCGGTAGAATCATTCAGCTTCATACCTTGTCATCCAAGCCTGGCTGAAGAGCTGGGCCATGAACCAATGTGCTTCCTTGATCTAATGTCCACCTCTGTGAAAAGTGGAGTTTCTTTGTAAGATAAGGGAGTCCTGGCTCACGCCTATAATCCTAGCACTCTAGGAAGCCAAGGCAGGTGGACTGCTTGAGCTCAGGAGCCAGAGACCAGCCTGAGCAAGAGTGAGACCCCATCTGTATTAAAAATGGAAAACCTAACCGGACGTGGTGGTGGGTGCTTATAGTCCCTGCTACTCGGGAGGCTGAGGCAGGAGGATCACTTGAGCCCAAGAACTGGAGGTGGCTGTGAGCTATGATGACACCATGGCACTCTACCCGGAGTGACAGAGTGAGACTCTGTCTCAACAAAAAAGAATTAGGATGGAGTTGAAAGACATTTTTCTTAGTAAAGTATCACAAGAATGGAAACACATGTATCCAATTTACTCAATACTGGTATGAACCCAATAGATGAACTAACACATGCTCACAAAAGAGAAAAACTCAGTTCAGTTCAAGTTGGGGGGGAAGGGGGAGGGAGAGAGAAGGGGGAAGAAGGAGGGGGATGGGTGGGCTCCCACCTAATGGGCACAACGTAAGGGCACATGGCACACCTCCTGGGTGCAGGACACAGCTACAACAGGAAACTTACCTAACAAATACAAACATTATAACCTAATTGCATCCTCATATTAATCTGAAATTTAAAACAATTTTAAAGAATTTTTAAAAATAAAAAAAAGAATTAGGAAAAAACTATGTACAACCATGCGCACAGGAAACTCAAGTTGCCTGTTTGCCTAAAGAATGAATCCCACCCATGCAAAGACATTGGTAGCCTGTTATGTTGTTATCACCGAATCCCCTCTTCCCTGACCATGAATGCTAAGCCTCCAAGACTGAGAGCATCCCGAGGACACGCCGTCAGTAGGACTATTTCCCTCACCAATCTGGGATGTGCAAGGGAGCCTTAATTCAAAGGGACTTCATTTAAGGCACTACCGAGAGGTTGTGAGGGCTTTATATTTTTGAGAGGAACTCAGAAATCTATAGAAACAGTACACCAAATTCTTTGTTAAGGCAAATAAAAATCTTACAATTGATCACTCCTGTATTGCCAAAATTTTGCCTGTGAAAGAAAAGCATAGACATGCCACACACACACACACCCGCCTCCCCCGCAGCAGTATTGCTGAACCAAAGGCATCAAGAAATAGCATTGGGTCTGGCCTGTTGTTAGGGTGTTCAAAACAAAAATTTTGGCTGGGCACAGTGGCTCATGCCAGTAATCCCACCACTCTGGGAGGCTGAGGTGGGAAGATCCCTTGAGCTCAGGAGTTCGAGACAAACCTCAGCAAGAGGGAGACCCTGTCTTTACTAAAAATAGAAAAACCAGCTGGGTGGTGGGCACCTCTACTTGGGAGGCTGAGGCAGGAGGATTCCTTGAGTCCAGGAGTTTGAGGTTGCTGTGAGCTATGATGATGCCATAGCACTGTACCCAGGGCAACAGAATGAGATTCTGTCCCCCGAAACAATTTTTCAAAAAAAGTATCCATACAACAAAAATTTTTAAATAAAGTTCCCATTTTTTAAATCCCTGGCTGGGTCTTTAAACAGTAATGCTACACTGGTTGTCCCTGGAGACTCCATGGTGTTTGAGATGGGCAGTTTTGGGATCTGATGTCAGCACTCACCTGGCCAGTAGTACATGTAGACCTTCCTCTTGGCTTTGGTCAGAGTGACCCACAGAGGCTCTGACCCGTTCCACCAGAGAGGCATCAGACTCTCCCTGTTGACACCGATCTCAAAGGACGTGTTGGTGCTGGCATCCCACATGTGGTTCCCGACCATCTGGTGCACCTCACAATGGCGGCCTGC